CAGCTGACAAAATCCTCAGTATTGCAAGGAAAGGTAATTTTTTACCCTTTCACAGAAGTTAATGCCATACTGTTTTTGCATAGTCCAGGATTATTCCCTCACTTAGCCCCAAGCTTCCCTTGTGAGAATGTAGGAAGATGACCTCTGTAAAGGGGGTACAGTCCAAGTCAGCAACTGGGGCTCCTACACAAAGAACAGCACAAGAACCGAATGTACCAAGATTCACAACAGTTTTCTAGAATTAACACTTAAAAATGATATTTCATCTCAGTTAAACCGAAAGAGAGACTTCAAGCATGTGGATTTGAAGCTATGTGTTGATACCTCACTCTGACAAATGCCAGCAGGACATGTACATGGTGCACAGGCTCCAAGCTGTGAATGCAGAATCACTTAGTGTCACGTGCTCTGTGCCAGAACAGTTGGGAATCTCTTGGGAATTCTTTTGTTCTAACATTATTTAAGATATGGGCTCAATAATATTCTTAATGACAATACCTAAAATGTACAAAGGGTCAATCACCCTGTAAAGGAACAGGAAATAGTTGTAAAATATGTAGGGAGGGGCTACTGTTAAAGAAGTCCAAGGAAATGTGTTGCCCCAAGTTACCTCTGATGTCTTCTGTGACTAATGCATCCTTGTTCATAGAACAGCACAGATTATATACCTACCCATGCTACCTAATGAGGTACTGAACCAAACACTTCTATATCTTAAAGAAAACTGTTATTTTTCTCCTGAAGCTTATACCTGATTGAAGGGAAAAGTTCTGATCCCTGAACTCACAGAATCTCTGGGAAAACAGTAAGATATGAAATGGTGAGTCACAGAGAAAAAGTCTTGCATTTCAGTAACAAACACTTGTTGTCAGTGCAGAAGAATAAAGCTGGGACTGTATACCTTCAAATTTGCAAATGTACTCTTGCACTTAAAGTTGCCTGAATGCATTTGCAATAAAAGTCAGACAGGCAGGCAGACAGAGTAGGAGTTCCTTTGAAAAGTGCAAGTGTTGCACGGGGAAAAGAAAGATGTTTTAAAGAGCTATCTAAACAATAAAAGGAAAAAAAGCTTAGTGTATGAGAAAGTGGATGTAGCACCCACTACAAGGAAATTGCATGGTAAAACACCAAGGTTAGGACACTCCTGCCTGAAGCTGCAAGAAGAGAAGCAAAGCGGCAAGAAATGTAATTGGAAAAACATCTAGATCTTCTATGGAGGAAAAATGAATGGATTTGTTTGTTTGTTTGTTGTTTTTGGGTATTGGAGAATTGTAGCAACATGTTGGAATGACAATCAGAAATATGAGACTGGGTAGTAGGCAAAAGGTCAGAAGTGAAGAGAGAGGTTTGTGAGTCACCATTCAGGTAGCACCTGGACCACATGAGGCCATGAAGAACTGTACACATAGGGATATATACTAAATCTTCCTCCTCCTTCACCTTTCGGTTAGTTGGATTTATTCCATCTCAAAGCCACGGTTTCTTTAAGGTCCAACTTGTCTTCTGCCTACCTTCAGCATGCCCTTCTTAGACCCTGTGCCTTTGCATTTACACTAGGGACATAGCCAGCCTTCATATTCTGGAGTGTCTCAAACTACCTAATGTTTACACAGAGAAATATCAGCTATAACATCTGAAGCATCTCTTCCTCCACACAAAAAGTAAGATTTTGAGGTCAAAACTGGCATGAATACTGCAGTGTGAACATAACAGGTACCCGTGGCTGGCATTGTAAGCAGGAACATCTCCCAGCCATAATTCACAACCATGGAAGGAGGAGAGGTAAGTAGCACCCACCTTTCTGCTTCTCACATGCAGGAAACTTAACTATATTATCAATAGCACACTTTCACAGCAAATAAATAAAGGTTTTGAAGCAATGTTCAAACTAACTTGTTATGGCTTGTCACATGGTGGAATAATCTGACTGGAAAATCCCTTTTCTAAACTTCTCAGGATTTATGAATGTGTTTTAAAGAGTTACATATGAAAAATGCCCTTAATTTTTGTGTGCCTTTGATGTAAACTCCTCTTCTGCTTGTTCTTTTTCTATGTTCATGTTTCTATGTTCATCTATGGAGACTGCAAAACTGGAACCATTATTTTCTCTGAACTTATTAGTGCTAAGAAAGTTGATGCTGCAATTCAGATTTCAGGCTACAGGGCCTAGAAACCTATGTGAATTCCAACCCACATTGGTATATAGAGACTTATTAGATGGCCATTTCTTGAAAAGGAGAAAGTAAGCCCTCCTGATCCGTCTCTTTCTTGGAACAGCTTTCATATGCATACACAGTCTGAAAGAAAACAAATCCTACATGTGCAAGTTTATGGAAGAAGGTCACGACATTTCCACCAAAAGGACATGATCCTGTTCCTGTTGAGATTACTAGTTAAATTCCCATCAGCTTCAGACAGAGTTAAGGTGGAATGTGAACAAAATCCAGAATAGCTCCCTTGGCTGCCTAATACATTTTATGCAGTTAACGTTAATGTTTTTAGAAATTTGGATTTTAGACAAATGATAGAGATAACTGGGAAGTGGAGGAGCTAGAAGAGAAACAGAGAGAAATGTTTTGTCTAGACCAAAGGAATGTTGTTACAATGTGTTCTTTAAATAATAAATTAACATTGAAATTTGAAATCAAATAAAAATGTTTTTGTTTCTCAATGTTCATTTGCAAAGACCATTTTGTTTGCATCTTTCTTCCCATAAAATGGATAAGTTTCATCAGAATAATCAGAATACAAATATTCTTGTGCAAAACTGCTGCCCTCCTGTACTGCATTTTAAGCAAGCAAACTTTTCACGTAATTGATAAGCTTTGTATATTTATCATTTTGGTACTCCAAGCATAGGTAAGATACATCATCAAGAAAGAGAAACAGCAGTTCCTCTTCTGCTGAGTGTAAAAATTAAACATAAAAAAGATACTGTAAATCCCACACTGGTCATGAGGGTTTTGTGGGATGAGGATAACCTCTGAAGGCAATGAAAATGACAGGGTACAAGGATCAGGGTTTTGATCGTTGGGTTGGACTAGGCTTATTTATGAAAGAGTCCAGATACAGGACAAAGGTCAATGAGAAGGATGATTTTACCCACAAGGAACTATCATGACAAAACTAGAGCAATCCAGGTGCTCAGAGGAGGGTATCAAGGACATAAACACCTACATGTCCAACAACAGACCCCTTTGGAGCAGCAGCAGCAGGAGGTCAAATGACATGGCCAAAAGTCACCTCAGATGCCTGTGAAGAGGCAGTTGAACTGCTCCTGGGGCATTTTGGCTTCCCCACTTCCTGCCTTCTGACTGCTCCCTTGACTGCTCAGCCCTTGGCAGCAGCACAGAAGGGTGAAACCCAGTCCTAAAGAAAAGCAGCTTTTGGGTCACAATGGGCTGGAGAGGCACAGAAGTACAGGTGGAGATTGTGACTGACTGTTGCCAGAGAAGTAATTAGGACAAAGCCAAGCAAGCAGCAGCTCTTTTAACTCACAGTTTATTCTTCATCTTTTAATTGTGTCTGTAAATTGGTGTGTTTTTATGGCTGTGGTCTCATCAAACCCAACCTCAGATTTCCTGCTGGCTCTGATATGAATTTTTCAGTGTCCAATGGAAACTTTAATGCTAAATGGAAAAACCTCTTCTAAGAGGGCACAGGACTAACTAGAGAGAATATATGACAAACACTCCTAATTTCTCAATTTGAATATGCATTTAGACATTGTATTTTTAGATATTTTTTATTCCTGACCTGTCTGACTTGAAGCTGAGTTTCTCCAGCTGGTTATCCTCAGCTTCCCACCATGGAAATCTGAAAAAAAAAACCTACAGTAAGGCTCTAATACAATTACTGTGAGTACAGCAAGATCCACAAGGCTATCTAGCTTGACCATTAAATTGTATTACATGCAGACTACAAAGGGAGAAAGCAGGGGACAGGAAATGAGACTGTATGTATCAGCTTCCATAGTATTGGATTGTGCAGTTCTAACCCAGACAAATTAGGCAATCCAGTTGTCAAATTCAGCATCATCTTGTTAAGAACTTGTTTTCAATGCAGTTCCTAGAGTGCGTTAGGACCCAGACAAATAGAGGCTCTTCAGTTGTTAACCACTCAGTGGTCTGTACACTGTGATGACTTCACTAGCTGCTTCAATGTGTTCTAACTCAGCCCCAGGGAGAAAAAATGGCAGCATAACGAACTTCAGGAAGCTAGCTATTTGGATGAAAACAGACAGTAACATGAAGACACAGTGGGTCTATTTTAAACAGAGAGTCAAAAATACTTAATGGTCTGAATCTCTTCCATCAACGCGCCTTTACTATTATTTCTCAGTGTTGTGTGGCATAAATAACCTCTGGGACTGTCAAATTGTAAGGTGATTTTGTGTTGGTAGTATCATCATTTCCTGTATCTTTGACTACTTCCTTCTGATCGATGGTGGGAATGCTTGAGGAAGTTTGGGGTCAAACACATGGGATGACTTCAATTGGCTGATTAAGCAAGTTATCATTGAGGATGACATTCCAGCCTGAGGTGGTTCCTCATATATAAATGAATGTGTAATGTCAAGAGACTTGCTAGAGGTTATAAGCACAAAATGACCCAATCAGGAAGCTGTGTCATGCCTTCATTTTGCATAATTTGCTCCTAGAGTTTCAGTGGTTTGTGACACCAACACAGATGAAGGTGTTAGAATGCAAACTTCCTTTAATTAGGCAAAACAAAAACAACACTGTACTCCAGGACTTCCAGAGGCATTTAATATCTAGCAATTGTGGGTAATTCAAAAGGTCCAGGGATTCGTGCTATCTATGTTTATACTGTGAGATAAGTATTTGGGCTTTCCACACATTTCTTCTTTCTGTTCCTCTCCCCATCCTCCAGTTCCCTCCCTCCCGTGTCTTAGCAATTACATATCACTTGGACGATCCTTAAAGCACTGAAAGTCATTTCTTGGAGCTGTTACAACAGGGAAAGTAGGTCCAGGATACATGATCCAAGGTCAAAACCAGTGGCTATTGGCAGGGGCTGCTTTTCACTCATCCCCACTTTGACTACTTTTATTGTCTTTTGATGCTTTAATCAAAGTATTTCTGCTGGCTGGCATGCATTTCCAAGCTGGCTACTAGGGACATTTAGTTTAGGCAACGTGCCTTATCTGGTTTTTTTTTTTTTTTTTTTTCCTACGTCAGCAAGTGGGGAAAATCCCACCCATACCAAATATTTAGAATACCCTATCTTTTTATTTGCATTGAGCATCCTTTGTTTGGGACTCAGAAGAGCTGTGTGAATCAGGAAGAGGAAGAGCCGAGACAGACAGACTGGGACTGTACAGGGAACTGAGGAAACTCAAAAGAAGAACGTGTCCTGCGTTGTGTCCTGATTTGGCTTTGGGGCAGTAAGTGCTGATTTATTCTCTGAAACTTGGACAGGAACTGCACGTATGTCAGCCAGAAGAGTTTGGAATATCTGGGCAACACCTATGGATTGATTTGCTTTTTTATATGTGTTGGTTTCAAGTCATCCAGCTCTACAAGAATTGCAGAACCTGTTACTGTCGTTGAAGTCATGGGGGGACTTTAGGTGTAGTGGGACTAAAGCCCCCATTTCAATTAGAAGAGTAATTCTCATTGTGTTAAATGCTCATTGGTATTTTTAAAGGAATGCTTTCTTTTTTTTTTTTTTTTTTTTTTTTTCCAAATGCTTAGAGTATGGTTTTCATTTCCACAGAATCAACTTTGTGTTGGTCCACTGGTGTAAAAGGCTCTTCACATGATTCTAAAGTAAGTTATACATTACAAATTTGTCATCTCAAATGTTTGAGAGGAGATCACAGTAATGGAGGATCTGACTCTAAACACTTACTTTTAAAATGGAAGGATTTTTTCTTAACCAAATAAAAAATGTACGTTGCAAGAAATGTTCTGAACTTTTGAGGAGAATTTTTAAAATAGTTGTTATAGATACCTGGTAATTACTTCAAATTCACTTTCAGTGGTACAGAACACACACTCCACAGGGCTAAGCCAGTAGTAGCAGGCAGATACAGGTTAATAAATCAATCCATTAAGACTGGACACTTGGTGTTTAGGTGATGCTTACTATGATAATAGACATTCAAGTCCATGTGAATAACTGTGACTATGGCACTATGGAATTCCAACCTTAGTTCCATATCAAATCACTTTTGGTGACAGATGAAAGGATGAGGCTCCTTCTTAACAGGCACATAAATTTACAGTGGGCAACTGAGGCTATAATGATGCTTTGTCACCTGTGATCAAGATAGTGTAAGCCAGATTCTGCCTTCAGATACTAGTATACAAATTTGTCATTTTAAAACGTTGTCACTGTTCCTTGGAATGCGGCATCACTGTTCTCAGATCGTATCTTCAAGCACAACTTAGGCAATCTTCACAACAGTTTGCACAAGATAAAATCTAATTAGGAGTACTTTCTGAAAGTTTTGCATTGGATGAAGTGAGGGACATCTATGTCTCTAGCTATTCGGCTATAGTATTATAGTCCTTTTGCATATTTTTCATTATTCCCTTTAGTAGCATCACAATCAACACTAAATACCATTTGGGCTATTTTGATAAGAAGAAGAAAAAAAAAAGTGCTTTTTTAATGCAGTCATTTTCCTGGCTGCAGCAACCTCTGAGCAATGTATGCACAAAATATAGGTGTTGAGAATGACTGAGTGATGGTGAAATCACAGCCTTTGGAAATAGGCACAGAGGATTTCCTTAGGCAGATGGAAATAACATTTATGAATGGAGAATCTGTATAAATGATTAATACAAGGCTTGGCTGAGACCACTTCTATCATTAAATATCACCTCCTGTTAGCACAAGATACCCATGTAAATGCACCTGTGAGCTCTTAAGAGGGAAACTGTCTAATGAACAGTCTGGTGGATCTAAACTTGCTGTTTGTGGAGGGGTCTGGAGATGTGCTTGAGCACACTAAATCCACATTGTATAAGACCTGTCTATAGTCTGCCTTTTAAGAATCAGTCAAAGGTTTGACCAGGAACACAAAACACCAGGGCAGGCTATTTAGTTTGGACAACTCTTATGAGAACATTGGGTTTAGAAGAAGGTCAAATTTAGGATGAGAACATTTTTACCAAACCCCAGGCTTACAAACCTAGCATGTAGCTAGGCATTAGGCAGTTTCCTGTATTGTGCAGGTACCTGTTTTCATTAGTATCCTCCCTAGCCTGATATATCCCTTGGAATGGGAGGGGGGGTGGGGTGGGGCGAAGGGGACTTCAGGCTCTTACACATGCTTTGAGCCTTTATCTGGGACACAGCTTGTAAACTGTGTCCAAGCTCTCCCTGCCTTCCAAAATTAGCCATGATATGTGCTTTGTCCACATTTTCTTGCCAAGGAAATGCAAGGCTTTGGGCTCTGGTTGAAACTTCCTCTCCTACAACCCAAGGATGTGCCCTAGTCACAAGATTTCATGTAGTTCAGAAGATTATCTTCCCACCTTCCTCTTGTAACTAGGCCATGGCAAAGGCATCACTGCAGTACCTCAGGGCTTCATGGAGAACCTGTGTCCCCACCCAGTGGTTATATCCACCTGGCAGACAGGGCACCACTGGATTACAGACCTAGCTCCCTCAGTTCATCATATGTTGGATCTTTGATAGCTAAAGAAAAAACACCAACACCAGAAAACCCATGATAACTCTATAAAGCTATGAGAGCAAACTCCACTCACTAAAGATCTGGCCTGCAGTCTCCTTTCTTTGCTTCCTTTTGTTGTGAATTTTGAGCTAATCCAGTATTCACTAAATAATTGGGAACCTTTCCATCAGCTTGCATGGACATTAGATCAGGCACCATCTGACTGGAAAAAGTGACCTTACGCTTCTAATAACACAGATATTATGAATAGCTTGGCTTTAAGTGGTGCTTTTTGGCAGAAAACATTGTGTAGTTTTAACCTCTGTGTGCAGGAATTGCTTTTACCAACCACTGAAAAGCAACCACATGTGGGGAGAAATGTGACTGCAATTAAGCAGTACAAAGCAAAATTATATTATGATAGCATGTCCTTCCAGTTCATGAAGCTCCAGGCAGTAGATGACAGCAAAGACGTGCTGCAAAGCAAGGTGAAAAGCATGACCTCTATTATTTTTGAAATCTGAATTAGTTGCCTATGTTGGCATTTTGTCTAGAAAAGGTCATTAAGTATTTTCTTTTCTTTCTTTCTTGTGTCTCCAGTATAAAATTTAATTTCTGAGCAAGTTCAGTTTCAGCTGTCCTGTTAATCTTGCTATGGTATTTCTCATTTCACCCCTGTCTGCCTTTGTAACGGAATATTAAGTGAAATGAATGATCAGTCTGTGTGCAAGTCTACTGCACAGTGACACGTTTTTCAATAGGCTGTATTTGAAACATTCTTTATATGTTGCAGTCAAAGGATGAAGAAATCTTTATAGATTTCAAATTTTGAAACACATTCCAAATCATGTGCAGGTGCGCTCAAAATCTGAAGGAAATACATCTGCTCTAAAGCAAATTTGTCCCTTGGGAAATTCTAGGACTGAAACAACTTGAAGAAAAAATATCTGCTCTTTCCTCCCTTATTCAGGAAGCTATGTTCCAGCACGGTAACATTAAACTGTTGGATTATGTGCACCTGTCAACATATGCTTGCTCACTTTCTTCATTCCCTTAATTTTAACAATTGTTAGTGTGTTTCCTAAAGGTACTATACTGTGATGAAGAGCTGCTGATTTGAGGTTACACTGATACAAACATGGAGAAAATGAAGAGTTGTTTCCAAAAAGCTAAAGCAGGACAGACAAAAGCATTGAATGATTGATTGTAACTGTCCAGGTCATCCACGTGTTTGGACAGCTGAGTGCAAATGCATGAGGTTTCTGTTATGAAGGGGTAGCAGCCACAGGGTACCTATAAAGAGCACTGAGAGGCTGGAAAGAATTTCTGGAAGGGATTTTCAGTTGCAGAATGAAAGCAGTGGGATTTAATTTCAGAGAAAATATTCCAACAGAAGCTAATCCTGCCCTAAATACATGCAATGCAAATGATGTGCGCAAGTACTGGATAAAAAAAAAAACAAAAGCATTGGCAAAGTTAAAGCATTTAGAGGGTGGAAGGGGTTGTGTCAGTGGTAGATTAGTTTGCTGCAGGCTACTTGCCATATGCCTCCCCGGGTTACTTGTACTGGATTAAAATTTACTTCTCTAGAACAATCAATTAATGTTATTAATAATGTTATTATGAATCTGACATTAAGAATCAAAACTAAGCAGCTAGGATGTGAATCATCTGCAGGAAAGGGTTGTGAAAAATGTCTCTACTTAGGCAATAACAAAAACCAGAAGAATGACATTTTCCATCAGCTCTGAGCTGAAAGCTTTGTGCAAAATCAGGCAGGACACCAATTCCATTGCTCTCTGTCTTTTTCAGGATATGGACTTCTTATATCTTCCTCATTGGACCTCACACTCGGACTGACTTTTGTTTTGGTTAAACTGCTTTTCAATAGTAAATATGAACCTGTCATCCAGGTTTTCAGTTTCAAGTGAACATGGCTTTGTCTTGTTTAAAACTAAAGTGCATCTGCCAGAGAAAGTGTGTCAGTTTCCTCGAACTCAATAGCAGTACAATCAAGCTTTTCACAAACCTAACCAAAACATGTTACAGCACTGACTTCAGCAGTCTGCTCTTTTTCCCCCTACCTCAGTTTCCCCTCTGTTAATCACTAGTGTTTCTAAGACAGACTAAATCTTAGATTTATGGCTGCCGCAGGAGCCCATGCCACCAATTAGTTTTACCTGAACCCAGACAAACTCATTTCTTCTCCACCCACAGAATCTTCATACTTGAGGTGATGCCTTCTGCTTTTTCTGTGGGATCTATATCAACACACTCAGCTAAGCCCACCATTCCCTTCTTCACTGCAGACCTGAGGTCATCTCTCATCCTTATATTTTCTAACAAGCCTGGCATTAAACAGGTGTTTCCTGACAGTTGACTTCACATGTACATTGCCTTTCCAGGACTGCTAGGCTAGACCCAGCCAAGTGCTCTAGGTTTTCTTCAAAGCCCTGGTCACTTGTTTACACAGGGGACTAAACTATGCTAAAACTATCATCATTAGTGTTTTTTAATTCTAAGGTGAGAAATTCACATTTGTAGAATGCCACATCACCTTCCTCAGTTTTCACATAAAGTTCATGATATTATATGCTAATATTAATATTTGAAGGAGGTATGCATAATTTATGGGCAATTAGCCTATAAGTGATTCCTGCTATAATGATGAAAAATTGACTGTATTTTTGTAAAAAGTTAAAACTTTTCTTGTTCTCTTTCCATTAAGACAATTAAGTATGAGTTGCCACAGGAACCTAAAGTGCTCCATCATTAACATGAACAGTATTTGGCTATTTTCTGTACTTTTAGGAACTACTCTGAGGAAAGAAATGAGAAAATAATATTTCACCCACTGAACTTTCTGTGTTTCACATTTACTCTGCTGGAAAGCTGACAAGAAACAATTGTTTCTTCTGAGGGCTCTTCAAGGAGGTTCCTGAACAGTGAAGGGCACAAGGTTGCTCTTGATGTGTAGCCTTCCACCTCAGCTTCTAACCTGTTATCTAAGGGTCCCGTTTTGGGGTGGCTTCACCTTCAAAAGTGGAGTCCTATCCTTTGGTGCTGGGAAAGTGAGTCTTTCATCTCACGTTGCTTCATACTCTGCCACCACTAAACTCCAACTGTTTTGGACAGCATTGTCAC